TTTCTTCATAAAAAAGACAACTCAGACAGCTCAGTGAGGAAAATTCAATACCGAGTATTATTACATTTCTTAATTAATCCAGAAAAGACAAAAGTAGATGAAAGTGAAAACGCTGTTGGAATATTTTGCTGTTGGAATATTTTGCGAATGCACTTCTTTTATCGACATAATATTTCACTTCACTTTTTCAAGATGGTCTTCCAGAAATTTCAGATGAAAAAACGTGTGCGTCTCGGAACGCCCAACAGAAGTGATAACTGAAACTGATCTAAGTTGGACTTTTCGAAATCGAAATTGTTCTACTTGAGAAAAGCTGAGGTCATTATAGTCGAAGTAAACGATATTGTGCACAGTTGAAAAAATTTTATTACAATTTTCATTTTATCCAAATTAAAGAAGGTGAGATTCTCAGAAAATTCAACAGAAACTCTAATAAATTGTTTGTATACTTCCACAGCTGGTTCGGGGCACATTCATCAGATTTTCCATTTTCTGTATTTCCTGTGTGTCTTGCACGTACTCGTTAGATGCGTCAGTTCTCCACGGCAATCTCATATCAATTGTCATGCCACTCTTAGATTAATTGTTGTCCCAAATGCGACCCGACTCTCTGAAAGAGTATGACGTTGAGCCCATTGAAAACATAAGTAAATATTCTTTACGCATTGCATGATTGCATACAATCATTCGACGAATGCAGATTGACTGAGGGGGTAGCTGCTCACCCAGTATATTTCAGCTGACGTTCCACGTTCTCTATTTGAACCGTCTGTATACTAGATATGTCTAATTAGTTTGTTCTCGTAATGGCCCTTCGTCATACATTCTTCACGTAAGTTCAATCATGAAAATAATGTTGTTAGTGTACTTCGATGTCTTGTGGTACTTCAACATGTTTTGAACAATTTTGCTCGATTCCTTGCAGCTCTATGAATTATTGAATATAAATTGGATTTATCTTGCATACCTTGATGATACAAATTGTAAAAGAAATAAATTCGAAAGAATATCGAATCCTGCTATTGGTGTAGTCTTCCCAAACAAGCAATTCTTCACCCTACACATGTCTATACGACCATTTCACCAAACAAGTTTCTTCAATGCAAAACACAAGCACTCTGGAAAAATCCTCAAGATGCTCTAAGAGCAGTGCCTGTGCGAAAGTAGCGATTCACGTTGGATTTCAATCGCTGGAGATTACATTCATTTGGAAAAACGTTCTCAGGAGTTTTATTCCAGATAACCACAGTTCTCCAAACGAAAGAATTCTCAAACAGTGAAATTCCAGGTGTACCGAGTTGAACCTCAAAACGATGAGCAGCCACAGTTGCATATTTCTGATATGTACCGCTCTTGATGGAATCAAATGTGCCAAGTCACTTGAACACTTCCCGTAAAGTATCTATAGATAAGAGACAAATCTCCAACCTTTCTTCGATAGCGTACGGATTTCGGGTTTGAAATGCGTTTTTATAAAGATGCTTAAGCACTGTAGGAAAACCCTCAAAACGCCCTGGCAGTTGTGAAAGGGTTCTCAAAAATATGTTCTTCGAAGTGTAATGAGTTGATATTCTGAATGATGATCAGCTGTAGTTGAGTAAGTCGAACACTGTCTGTGAAAATATCTATGAAAATGAGAGACAAGTTCCAAACCTTCTTTAATATTCCACGATATCAAGGTTAATTATGAAGTTTGGGTTTCGGGTCAAAGAGGGATGACACCGCAAAAGCTCGTTAAGTTTAAGTCCGCAGAAGTTAGTACTTTATGAAGTTATGAAGTCACATATATCAATTCCAAAGATTCGAATACTTACCTAGTACGAATGCTAAAGGATAAACCCCGGCAGTTCCTAAAGAATTGATGAACATGAAGATAACAAAAGTCATATAATTGGGTGAGAAAGCTTGAAGTGCACCAGATACACTCATGAGGAATATACAGAAGATGAATACCAGTTTTCTTCCAAACCTGAAAGAAATTATTGATTATGAATATTTTTGAGTTAAACATTATGAATATGTTGTGCAAGTGGAGTTAGTACTATGACACTTATGAAAAGTGATACATTGAATTATTTCAAAATTTCATCCATGAATGAACATAAATAAGTGAAGGAAATATGAATTTCTTTTGCGAATAACGTCTGTTCAATCAATATAAAACGTGTTTTCGTCGTCGCAGATTGTACAAAAAACAAACATTTTACTTTTGCAGGATAATGCAGTACAGATGAGTTCAGGAAGTATTAAAAAATACTTGAATTCATGAACAAAGTTTTTGAAAGTAAAAAATGAATTCAATGAACCATTACAGAATTCAGAGAGAAGGTAAAATCGAGAAAAAAATCTAAGAAATAGGTAGGTATAACGTTCCTGAGAAATACTTCAAATATTTCTTATTGAATAGATACGCTTAACTGAATGCATGGGTATGTGCAAAATATTGACTGGAAGATTGTTGTTTCATAGATTCTCCACTAAAGTTTTACTAGACCCAGTGAATGTAATGATTTCATGAAAAATTCAAAACTTCGTTCAGCTATAAGTCATGAAAATAAAATATGATTAAACATATTACCTATCAGCTAAAACTCCAAAAACTAAGGAACCAACCACTATGCCTGCAAAATGTGATGATCCAACCAGAGAAATTTTCCACTGATTCTCCAAACAGGTGATATTCCACTGAAAAAACATATGATAATAGTTCGATTATCCATTTATAGATCTCAAAGCTATGGGAATGAAGGACCGCATTGCTTTGAAAGTTCATACATAATATACATACAGTGTGTAAAAGCCAAATGAAATAAATTCATTATTTCAGTTGCTGTACATATTTAAAAAAAACTGAAACATGTCAAATGTAAATTATAATTTGACATTATTCAACGTAAAAATGCCACCTCCACCTTCAACCCATTTCGAATGACTGGTACAACCCTCAATTTTTTTAAATGGGAAGTATAAGTTTGTGATATATCGTATTCATTTTCTAGTCAAAATTCCATTATCAAAAATTATTTCGAGATCTTTCAGCTCATATCCACACACATATGTATGACAGATTCACCGAGAAATATGGTTTGAATATTCCGCCCCTCTTGGATGCAGTTTCTGATGCACTTTCACTTCGATGGCCTAGTCATTAAACATGTTCGATCGATGACCTATTTATTTTGTAGAAATTCATATTGAATATAAAATAAAGAAGATAACTTTTATTTAATTTCTACTAATTTTATTATTTGTTACGACCGGTTTCGGTTAATCAGACCATTTTTAAGTAACTACTCATCAAATACACTTCACGAAGAACTACTAGAACCAAGAAAATTACATCTATTGTGGAAGTATCTGGAGTTGTTATCCTTCCTACTTAGGTTAAGTCCAAAGTGAGTGGGTCTTTTCGACCCTCCACCGCAACCGGCAAGGGTTTATTGTGGCTCGCACCTATTCACACCCGACCAAATAAACCCAGCTTCTTAACGAAGCCGATTATTTTGTATGGAGAGTGGTCTTTCAGGTCAGATTGTAAGAGTACGGCTCTGCAAACTCTAGAAACCTGATTCGGTTCCCAGTGGGGCAGGCACAAAGTATGTGCTCTGCTGTTTCATCATTTTCCAAACAGAGGCTACACACACTATCTTCCAAAAGTCCGAGTCTCTGCATATGATGATTCAAATGACAGTGACCTGTAAGAAGGCCTGTTAGACATCGTGGTTCATCCCAGCTGTAATCCAACAACTGTTTGGTATCAAGCTTTCAATTGTGAATAAGCGATTTGGAGTGAGCCATCCTGGAAGATTCTGCCAGAAGTCCATAAATCTTCTTGCCATTTAGGTGTTCAATCTTTGTTTGACAAAGCCTAAAGCGATGTCAATGACAGGTTCTGGCTCGATGAAGCTGCTTACAGCACCCTCTTCTGCAAAGGAGTCAGCAGCCTCATTTCCAGGCCAATATGGCCAGGAATCCAGACCAGAGATAATCTGTTAAGTCTTTCTATCGAGAAGAGTCGTTTTTGGCAATTTGCTACTAATTTAGACTTCGCTCGGTAGGATAAAAGAGCTTCCAACGCCGCTTGACTGTCCGAGGATATTTTTATTGACTTGAGTATAAGATTGGATTCTTCCAATCTCTCCGCACACAATTTAATAGCGTAAATTTCCGCTTGAAATACAGACCCACAGGCTTCTAGGCAGGTTGATATCTCTGTACCTTCTTACTTACATTGAGAGTTTCTATAAGTATTATTCTGTCAACGGATATACATTTTAGAAATATCGAGAAAATGGCACTTCGAAATCTCGTTTTTTGTGAAGTTAGGTGATCCTCTAGCAGCTTCTAATGATCAAAGGCTCAAACTCAGCCAATTTCAGAAGTTTGCTGAGATCAGAGGAGTACAGCACCCAAATACATTTTTTTTAATAAAATTTCATTATCAATATTCACGGTGTATATTTCATCTAAAAATGATTACACCTCAGTAGTGACATATAATGTTTGCTTCTTCAAAAAAAGTCATCCAGAATTCAATATTCAAAGTTGCATTGATGAAACGAAAATATTATAAAATGATAATATCATTCACCAATGTATATTCTGCCTTTGAATCATACAAAAATTTTCTTTTAACAAGAACACTGGAAAATTGAATCTTCCGATCATTAAATTTTTCCTACAAAAATATTTTTTCCGCGCGCCCAAACTGTATCACTTTTCTCAACGTGTTTTGCCAACTACATTTACATAATCGATACGGAAACAACTGTGGTTGATGAATCGCTCGTCAAGAAAGGTATTTTTGTTGGATTCATTCAAGCAGTGAGTTCTAATGCTAATAAACACCGAATCTTCTTTACTTCGTTAATGATTGTCCTCTCGTTCTCATCAAAAATCCACTCCGAACATCTTTCAATTGTATTGGTGAATGCATTTTCTGTACAAGTGTTATTGGTTGCAGTTGATTCGTTTTTGGCAGCATATCTTGAACAAGAATCAGTCTCCACTCCAATAACCTGATTTTCAGAAATTTGGTTGGGAATGGCCCATTTCATCCATGGCACGTTGTATGATGTATCATGTGGATCTTCACATTGTGGTACAAAACATCTAAAAATCAAAACAATAATTGTTTATTCAAATAATTCGAATTAAATCAACAATACAGAAAACAAACTTCAATAAAGCAGGAACCGAATGAGTACAATTACGGGGCTACTAACTGTTCTCTGTCCTTCGATAGGACACGTGGACAAAATAGGGTTCTATAACAAAACTGTCAACAGCAGAGGCAGAAACAGCTTTTCATATTTCGTGCAAATTTGTTGCACCTGATCACAGGAGCAATCTATGGACTACCTACATTATGTCCAGAAAAATATGACAAAGATGCAACAAGGCAACTTAACAAATTGGAACAGGAAACCAGATTGTGGAAATGATTGTTGATAAACGCAAGAGATTGACACACAAGAAATGGAGAAGTCAGTCGGCTTCCAAGAACACACAAAAAATAATGGCCAAGATCATATGGTTTTAGGATTATTGTATTTCAACTCTATTGAATTTATTTGGATTGAAATGAAACTAGTCAAAAAACAGAAAAATGACAACAAGAGAAAAATTTTGGAAACATTGAGGAAAATTTGTTCAAATGTAAATCAATAAAAAAAATTTCAATGATAAAACACTGGAATATATTCTTTAAAAGACACGTTTTGTGGAGGACTCAATACTTCATAATTGTATATCAACGACTAATTGGAGAAAAAACCAAGCGTCCAATATATTGCTTTGCTGACGAGAGCACACTTGTCACGTTATTCCATTTGGATTCCAGATCATCGGCTATGGAGGCACATCTTCACCGGCAGCAGGAGGTTGCATATCTTAATGAGGATCTAGAAGTGATTTCGAATTTGGGTGAAAGAAACCAGGTTCAATTCAATGCCACAAAAACCCAAGCATAGGTTTTCTTCAAGAAGATAAATGTCTCCGAACCGAATATAATAATGTCAGGTCAGACAATTCCGCTTTCTGCTTCGATAAGTTTGTTTGGGGTTGAAATGTACACCAATATGTCTTGGCACAATCATGTCGCTGGAATTGCAAAGGTTGCTTTTCAAAAGCTTGGAACACTGTTCCGAACCAAAAAACTTTTGATGCTTCATAAAGCTCAGATCTGACCTTCTTTCGAGTTTTGTTCTCATGAAGGGAGCTCTGCCCACAAACATACCCTGAAGTTGCTGGATTCCATCCAGAAAAGAGCCATCAGCCTGATTGGTGACGCGAACATCACGTGCAACCTTGATAGCCTGGAACATCGAAGAAAGGTTGGAGATGTGTCTCTCTTTTATAGATACTTTCACGTGAAGTGTTCAAGTGACTTGGCACATTTGATTCCACCAAGAGCGGTACATATCAGAAATACGAGACGAACTTTGGCTGCTCATCGTTTTGAGGTTCAACTCAGTACACCTCGAACTCCACTGTTTAAGAACTCTTCCATTTGGAGAACTGCTTTTATGTGAAATAAACTTCCTGAAAACGTTTTTCCAAATGGATTTAATCTCCAGCGATTCAAATCCAATGTTAATCGCTATTTTCGCACAGGCACCGCTCTGAGAGCGCCTTGAGGTTTTTCCTGCAATTCTTGTGTTTTGTCCTTGACAAAAAAAGAATTTGTTGAAGTGTTATAGAAGGCAAACTGAAAAGTTCACCCCGAAAAGTTACTGGGTAATTTAAACCACTGAAAAGTCGAATTAATCAGTAACTTGTCGCATTCATAAATTTTGCCTACAAATTAGAAAATCAGATGAAAAAAAAATCAATATTTATACAGTCTTCTTCCGTTTTCAAAACCTGATATTCACTCTGAAACTTTCGCCCCAGCTCTAATTCTTTCAACATACATCAAAAAAATGAAATGTCCAGATGCCATATGCGTTGAAGCGGTTTAGGGGGGCGATGGCTAATTTAAAAAGGTTTTTTTTTGCTTTTCACACAAACTTTACCGCTTCTTTACGCTTAAAGCGCGTTTTCTCGTGTAACACCATCCAAGGGACTGATCAGTAACTATTTCCTGTCCGACAGTTGCCCACTGTACAATAGATGGCGGTAAGCTTCAATACGAAGCGAGAAATTTGTAGTCTCCATTCTCGAAAGTACAAGGCCCGTCCGCTGCCTCATATAAAAGCGCATGCGCCATCCATCCAGTAATGTCATTCGACGATATAACGAAAATAAGTGAATTAAGTTAGCTACTAGCTGGGTAAAGTGCTGTACGTGCAGTGGTGAATACTGTGAATACAATACTCGATTCTTTACTTCGGCATTTTTGAAGACAAAATTATGTCGGAAGCAAAAAAGAAGAAACGGCAGTATAGCGCGGAATATATGTATAAAATATGGATTTATTGAAAATCCCACAAATCCATCTTCGCCTATGTGCCTTCTTTGTCAAAAACCATTTTCGAATGAAGCGATGAAACCCTGAACGCTACAAGATCATTTGAATAAAATTCATTCAGATAAAAAAGACAAAAGTGTGACTTATTTTCAAGAACTGGAAAAGAAACACTCGGCACAGCCAACTGTACCGAAACTTTTTTCAGCGGCTTCTAAGAAGCAAGACGACGACGGACTCCGAGCTTGCTACAATATCTTCTTGCTAATTGCTCAAACAGGTAAACCCTACACTATTGGAGAGGATTCAATTTTACCGGCAATAAAAGAAGTAATAACTACTGTGCTCCATAAACCAGCGGCAGATATTATCCACAAAATTCCTTTGAGCAATAATAGTTCCGTGCAAAGACGAATTGTGAGATGGCTGAAAACATTGGAGAGTTATTGTGCATCTGATGAGTCCACTTTACTAACCAATGAAGCATTGTTGTTGTCATACGTGAGGTTTATTAAAAATGAGAAAATATATCAAGAACTATTATTTGCTGGAAATTTAGAGACGGATACAACTGGAGAAACCATATATAATACACTGGAAAAATTTTGTGATGAGAAAGAAATTCCACTGAAGAATATTATATCAGCTGCTACTAATGGCTTTAAAAAACACTTTTTGTGGAGGACTCAATACTTCGTAATGTTTTTTTGGGTATATAATTTTCCGTATTGTCTACAACCCTCTTTCTATTGTATATCAACGACTTATTGGAGAAAAAAACNTGCGAGCTGAGGACTAACGAGGTCTTACCTTTTAACGTGTGATTCCTAACACGGTTGCAGAATCATCCCCGCTTCAACCAGATAAATTCTCTCGAGAAAAATATCTGATAGAGGCGGGAATCGAACCCACGGCCTTCCGATCGTGAGTCGGGCGCACTACCACCGCGGTTCATCATTGTTCTGGTTGATAAAACCCAAAGAATTGTAATATTTGAATTAGAAAATGATGGTGATCTGAAGAATGAAACAAAACTGAATGTAGAAACTATTTTGGAGCTTCTGAAATTATGTACTGATAAAACTTTTTTCCAGCTCAAAGAGGATTTTTATCAACAAGAATTTGAAATAACAATGGGCTCATCCTTGTCACCGATTCTGAGAAACATTTTCTTGGAGTATTTCTAGAAAGAATACATCAAAATTGGCCAAAATGGTCCAAAGATGTGATGGAGAGATTATGTTGATGGTGTATTCGGTATCTTGAACCAGAATCAGATAATATCAACGTTTTCTTACATTAGAAAGGGAAGTTCATAATCAATAACAAGTGTTCATTGAAAAAAAAAACTCATACTAATAGATATCTTCACTAAAATCTAATCGTCAAAAATCTAAGCGTCAAAAAAGTTATATTTGGATAAAGCAAAGACGGTTCGCAATTCAGTTCATAATATGAAAGTGGAATAAACAATCATTTAAACGGTTTTGGAGATGAACGCATATCCGGAGCAGTTTGTGGAGAGAGCTCTCAATGAAGTTGGTAAAATCAATATACATTATATAGGTACAGATCTCACAATCACTACAAATCCAACAAAACCACAACTTACGTCATACCTTATGTTTCTGTTTTGTCTGACAAATAGAAGCGCATCGGTTATAGTTATAATTTCTTGTATAAGTGGAACCTCAAGACCTCCAGAAGTGAGAAAAATCTGACATCGTGAATATAAATGAAGGAGAAAACAGATGGCAGGATCGGAGATGGCGGAGCATATTGTGAAATAAACTATAGAATGGGGTGAAACAAAAATTATTACAGACAAAACTCATGAAAAAATTATAAAACTCAAAGAATCCGCATATATTTTTCTAGTAGGTGTATTTCAGATAGATCTAGTTGCCATCACGAAGAAGAGAGGTTAAAAACGGAAATGTGAACCTCTGAATTCATATGTATTCATGTAGACTATAACATATGACGTCTAAATAGTCGAAGTAAACGATATTGTGCACAGTTGAAGTTGGCGGTATTCTAAAAGGCCAAAAAAAAACAATACATAAAAATAAACCGGCTGCGAACTAGTCCATGTGCGGGCTGTAGAATTGGCGATTCGTATTGGATAATTTTTACTAACCGAATTTAATGATTGGCTGAAGAGATAAAATTAAATTTGAAGTCATGTTACGGTGACAAATAGAAATCGGGGAATGCGGGGATGGTTATCGCCGTCGTGTTCAGTTCAGGAACTGATAGCGATTTGAGTGTTGAGATTCGATATTGATGCAGTTATAATTAATTGAAATGTTTGTTATCTGTTTAAAATGTGGCATCCTTGGACAAGTACTGATAGTAATAACGAGTGTAATGAAAACGCAGACTTTTTCCAGTGTAGTGATTCCAATAGCGATGGTGAACAATGCAAAAAAAAGATACCAGTGAATAAGATTCGGATGCATTTGAATATTGAAACACAGAGAGTATGTTTCAATCTGTTTAAAAAATCTGTTTCAATGTATATAAGAATCTACATCCCAAGTTTGGTTTCGAAGAAAACAAACTATTACAAGCAACATCAGATTTGACCAAAATTCCTTTCTCAACTGTACGTAAAATAGTCAAAAACAAACCCTATGAACGCAAGACGCGATGTGATGATTCAGAATTACCAAAACCTTAAGATGTTCCTCAGATGAAATCATTG